AGAGAGAGAGAGAGGGAGAGAGAGAAAGAGAGAGAGAGAGTGTGTGTGTGCGCGTGTGTGCGCGCGCGTGTGTGTGTGCGTGTGTGTGTGTGCGTGTGTGTGTGTGTGTGTGTGTGTGTGTGTGTGTGCATATATAATACATCATCACCATCCTGTGCCTTGCCGACTGGTTTGGGCGATCACGAAAATATATTTTTGCTGTCGAATATATATTATGGTGGTGAATTCTTGTGGAAATAGTATGATTCACATGATATTGAGAGCACACGCACTTTCAACTGACATGTACACACTGGCATCTATGTAACTAGCCTCCCCACCGTTGTGCACAAATGGTATGAGTTCCATTCTTGTGAGGGGAAAATATTACAGATGTTTGCTTATTGAGATATTGCGTGCCCTTCAGCTCTAGTTGGTCCCGACAAGCAGATACTATTGTGAGGCCGCGTGGTGAAATCAGGCGCTCGTCAAAATAATGAAATTGAAGAAACTGGTGTTTTTCTGCCAGTTTTGCGATTTTTATCGAATTTTTGTTTGTTTGGCTTAACACCACTGTTGCGCTATTAAGAATACACTTCTGGGTAGGTTTTACTAAAAAAACGTTGATTAAAGGCACAGATAAAAGTAAGTTTTCAGTTTCCATTGACTATCATGCTATGGAAATAACCAAACGTATTCAGCCATTTTCTCGCTAATTCTACCTTTGAAATTAGGCAACCCCACTTTCTTCAATCTCAAATATTTCGACTTCTTTTCTAGATAGATGGACATATTTTTCACTGATAGCAAGACTACTCAACAGGCTTTAAGATGATGATATCAATAACTCCATTGTATGCCCAAGATTTGACAAGCGCCTGATTCTATCACGTTGTGACCCAAATACTCTCAGCCTCTTGAATGGTGTAGATTCAGTCGATACCCCCCCACACTCACACACACATAAACAAAACACACACGCACACACATACGCGCTCACATAAACATACGCACGCACACACATGCACAGACATACCAACGCACGTACGCACACACCCACACACACACACGTACTAGCACACACACACACACAAACACACACTAACACACACATACACATACACACACACACGTCTTCCTATCTGCCTGTCTCTGTATTATGCAGATAAACCTTCAGGCAAGACGACAGACCTGGAGGTGGGTTGGTGGGTGCTCTGGTGTGGTTTGCTCCTTCTTTCCTATCAAACATCTATCGTCCTTATATCTCCTCCTCCTTTTTTGTATCTGTTACACTCTTGTAACACCTCTAATCTTCGGCACTGATATGACCTGATTGTGTTGCAAGTGCTGTAAAATGCTTACTAAGACTAGATCTAAACTAAAGCGACGGACCAACCATCATCGTCAGTAAATTTTTCTAAGATAGTAGGTGGTCTATTCATTTTGTCATCCCATGCCTTCTGAGGGTAAAGACTGAAGTAGTCAACACTTTTCCTTCTCTGTAAGCGTCTGCATGGGTGGTCTCATAACTATACACAGTTGATCTCTTTCTATCCCCTCCCCCCTCCCCCCCTCTCTCTCTCTTTCTCTGGCCCCATCTCTCTCTTTCCCCTGTCTCTCTTTTTAAAATACACGTACACACACACACACACACACACACACACATACACACACATATACACAAATACTCATGCACACATATGCACACACAGATACATCCAACAACTCATACACATAGATCTAAACGGAGAGGCAGCAAGAAAGACTTACGAGACGACTGACATGACATCCTTTGATCTATAGATAACTCAGTCCATGTATTTCTCTCTTTCTCTGTCTGTCTGTCTGCCTGTCAGTTTGTCTGTCTGGCTGTCTGTCTCCCCCCTCCTCATTCTCTCTTTCCCACATACACAGATAGTACCTTTAGATAGTATACTGTCTGTCTGTCTCCCCTCCCCACCCCCCCTTCTCTCTTTCCCACATACACAGATAGTACCTTTAGATAGTATACTTAACCCATGTATCACCTCTCTCTCTCTTTTCTGTCAGGTATGGAGCGACGCTGCTGTCCAGATTTTCTTCTCGCTGAGCGCTTGTATGGGTGGTCTTATCGCCATGTCCAGCTACAACCGTTTCAACAATAACATTATCAGGTCAACAACTGATTACTATCATTTGCTTTGTGCCAAGAATTGTTTTCTGTCTTGTCTCTCTTTGTCTCTCTCTACCTCTTTATCTCTGTCTCTGTCTCTGTCTCTGTCTTTGTCTCTCTTTCTTTCTTTCTCTCTCTCTCTCACACACCCCCCTTCTCTCTATCTCTGTACTGTCTTTCTGACAATCTGTCTGTCTGTTGCTGTCTGTCTATCTTTCTGTCAATCTGTCTGTCTGTCTTTCTGTCAATATTTCTGTCTGTACCTCACCCCCTCTGTCTGCATATACGAGTGTATACATGCATACACATACACACACACACTCTCTCTCTCTCGTTCTCTCTCTCTCTCTCTCCTCTCTCTCTCTCTCTCTCTCTCTCTCTCTCTCTCTCTCTCTCTCTCTGTCTCTCTGTGTGCAAACGTGTTGACCAAGTCCTTTCTTTTGAGCATGTCAAGGAAGTCAAAATCTGAAGGGAGAAAAGTAGTCCATTTACTTGGGAAATCTTCCTCCATGTCTAGGCCTACAGCACACTGCGTTCTGATCATTTGTCATCAAACATGATCACATGTACGCACACAAAAACAATACTTTGTAGGTCTTTGATGAAATTTTATACGAAAAACGCTCGCAAATACGTGTCCCTATATATGAAAAAGACATTTCTATTCAAAAACTTTCCCCACTTTCTTATTTTGTTGGTTTACTTTGTTGAAATCTGAGTAGCACAAAAATGCATTTATTATACATGTATTAATGCTCTATTTGTTTCTAGACCCAAAGATGTCTTTATGATTCTTGTAAAACTGCTTGAACAGCTCATTTGTTTCTATGCACAGAGAAGCTCCCAAAAGACAATTTGAGTCCCCCCCCTCTTAAAATAAATTAAAAGTTAATCAAAGCAGCCATCGTGACGTCTCATACAAAGTAAAGATCCTAGTTTTGCATGACATAGGTCAAGAAAATTCCGAATGTGGTCTTAATATTACTTTTAAACATCTGATTTGTCGTATCAATTGTTTGACAAGGTCTGTTTTGTGTCTGTAAACAGGGACGCCTTCATGATTCCTATCATCAACTGTCTGACTAGTTTTTACGCTGGATTCGTCGTCTTTTCTACTCTGGGAAATATGGCAAAGATCAAGGACCTACCCGTGGGAAATGTCACCCAAGGAGGTGAGACTTATCTATTAAAATTAAAATTATAATTATTAT